GAGGATAGAAATCTGGGGGCCTCAGGCAGTTCATCAGGACCTTTCCCACTCATCTGCAGGCGAGACTGCAACCTTATTAAACCTTAATGACAAAAGACCTCAACAACCAATCTTCCTAATTCAGACAGCTGTATATCTGTGTTTACTCTCCTTCCTTCCATGCAGCTTTCCATATTTTCAATTGTTCTTACATATAATGTGAGTGGAAAAAAAGGAACAAAAACAAAAAACAAAACCAAAAAAGGAGGTGCATTGACAAGGCAGTAAAAGGAATGGATCTGAAGTAGTTGTTGGAGCTGAAGTAGTAGTTTTGAGAAAGTGATGCAGTGATGGGAAGGTGAGGAAATAATGTCTTGCTTCTTTTATCCTGCATTTTCCCAAGATTTCTAGTCAGAAATATTAATTTTTCATCTCCACACTGCATACTCAGCCCTCACAAAATTTATTTTCACATGTATTTCCTCACTAGATTAAACCATTCTGCCATGAAAATACCTTTCCTGAGCTACATTCACTGTTCAGTACTGCTGTGTCTCCTGAAACATCCCTAATGAGATAACTCTGTTCTGAACTAAATTTCATTCCTCTGCATGTTTCCTCACCCCATGATTTCAGGTCCTGCACTTATTGTGCATTCCCATCCCTCTTCCATAACTTGTTTCCAGCATCTTATATGTGATTACATTGCCTTTCACACGTCTGGTTTTTCCCCTGACCCTATTTAAGGTGACACTTACTTATCTTCATTTATGCAAAAGCAGTACTTTTGAGTTCCAGTTAGAAAAAGCTAATGGCAGCACGAAGAAATGTTTTCAGAGAGGAGCAGGCAGGCAAGCTGGGTGTTACAGCAATGTAGAGCAGGGAGGAGGATGGATTGAGACCCCTCAGGGACCCTCCATACCTGATGTCTACTGACACTAGCAGGAGCCTGTGTGTGCCCTCCCTTGGGGACTGAGGGGATGTGTGGACCACTGTTGTTCTACTGATGATCCCCAGAAACACTCAGGACAGGCTGAATGCCCCTCTGAGGCCACAAACTTATTACATGTTCGATGTAAACTGGAGTGACATAGTCTTGACAGATCTAGAGCTACGCAGAGATAATGAGAAATCACTGCAGTATGGGGAACTGGACCATGGAGATGCAGGCTCAGGGCTCCAGTCAGATGCAGTTTCATGCATAATTCTGAAGTTTCCTGACTCTCTGTCTGTTGGTTGTAGGAAGCACATGGTTTGAGGAAGACAACTAACACTGCATTGGGACAGAAGAAAGAGGTAGGAGACAGTGCAGGAGCTTCCCTTGCTTGCATATAACCTTGTCCCAGGGTCAGCTCCACCACAGGAAGCTCGTATGAGAGCTTGCAGCAGTTGTGAATCTGCCTGGCTGATAATGACTTTCAAACCAGTGATCACTCTGCTTTCATTTCATCAAATAAAGAAGTTTCATATACTTAATGTTTTTTACATTTGCTGATTCACTCAGTAATGATAATTAGTGAGCATCTTTATTGGCAATACAGAACCCCTCCTGTGTAAGCCCCTTTCATGTGACTTGTCCCATTAGCCTTTTTTTCATGGTTTTTATATACTGCTAAAGGAATAGCACATGTGAAATGATGTTTGGGATTTAGAGTATTATAACAGCTTACTGCTATGTGACGACTTTTAAAACTAAGTCTGAGAAAATCAGAGTGCGTGAAACCAAATTGTAAAGATTCTGAGTAGAGACACACTAATCCTCTACAAAAGCAGGGCTACTGATAGATTAAGTCATTAGACTAGATGCACACAGTTCAGAAAAGGAAGCTGTGGTCACATCACTGGGCAGGCTTTCATGTGATGATTTCAAAAAATCTGCTTCAAATGCATGGCAGGCAGGAAATGCTCTCCTCAGAGTCAGTCTTGTTACTTAAAACACAGTTTTGCAGTCAAATTGCAGAGAAGTAAACATAAGTAAAATTGTCAAATCGGTAGCTCAAAAGTTAGAAAATGCCAGACTAAGCTTCCTTTTCTGAGTCATCACTCTTCCCCTCCTTCCTTGCCTTACAGCCAGTGCACACAATGCAAAATGGTTCTGTGTTTTTTACTGCATCACAACAAGTCTCCATTGAAAAATGTTCAATACAAAGAAAAAAAAATTAGCACCCTGGTGGATAATTCTGTAGCACTCAACGTTTACTTCAGATACATCACAAATGGTGATTTTTGGAATACCTGAAAAGTGAGACATTTATATAGACCTCATTTCCTGTTTCAAAATTGAAAGAATTAAGAACTGAAGTGTCTAGGAAATGCAACTACTGTGTTTGAGTATTACAGAGTGGGCTTTAAACTTCCTTTTTATATCATGCTTCACATATTTAAGACTGTGCTCCCACAGTGTTTTGTTACAACCGTTTGTTCTCAGCACACCTAACTGGGAACACCTATGTATGTATAAAACTATGTATCAGCAGAAAATACTTTGAATGATTTTACAACTGTAACAGGAAAGGTTTAGGACACAAAGGAGGGACACAATAAAATTTTAAGTAAATATGAGACTTTTGTTTTCATTTAATGTATGTGTGTTCTACTTGTTGCTTACAGAAGTCAGAAGTACTCTCCCCTCTAGTGTGCTGTTGCAATTTGAGCTTCAGCTTAGGGCAAATGAGGCATGGACAGAAAATGTAAAAAATAGGGCATGATAATAATTGTTTTCGAATGCATTCATAAAAAATTCAAATTATGCTGTACAGACAATCTTGACTTTTGTACTTTTGACTTTTAAAACACAGTAACATTTTACCTGTCTGATGTGTTTAGAACATTTTACTCAAAAATCAAAAAAGACTCCCAAACTGGAAAAAAAAAAAATCCAGTACATGACATCCTAATTATATTTATGAGTGATTAGCAGAGCTGCAACTGTTAGCTTTGGCATATAGATCTGATTCTTAATTAAACCCATAAATGGCAAATAGCAATCTAGTTTTATTACAAGCTGAGCCCTGAGCAGAGGAATAAGGGCACGGTGACAAAAGGCTTTATAAATATTTCCTGACAATGCAGAAAATCAAGCTTGCAGCCCTGTGGGGAAGCCTGCTTCCTTGTGAGCACACGCAACTGCCTGTTCTCTCCAAACCTATGTTTCTTAGGGACAGTAACTGTCCTGTCCATAATGATACCACTTTTCCTTTTCTTGGCTGTCATTCTCATCACCCTGTTGTTCCCTTTCTTTGCACCTAGCTCTTGCTCCCACAAACATTATCCAGCCAAGCAAACTCAGCTTTCAACATTCTGTATGGACCTCCTGCTTCAACAAATGTCAGTTCCTCTCCTGATGATCCCCTACAAATCCATCTCCATTGTTCCTCTTCTCCATCACCGTTTTCCATTTGCTCATGTTCTTTATTCTTCTTTCTATCTACCTGCATTCCTATTTGTGTTTTAGCTTATTGTGATGCTCCCCAGAAATGTCTTTAGTATTAGTTTTCCTCATTCCATGTACTATCTTTCTCCAATATTTTTTTCTTAGTTTCCATCTCTTAAGGCAGTTTTTGGCAGTTCTCCATAAAAGTTGGCCCCACTCTACTCTCAGTCTCCTCTATTGCCATCTACCCATTTCATTTTTCTATCATAGAATCATTTTGAAGGCAATCCTTATCATGCTAGTCTGTTTTGTTTCTCTTCATCCCAAATGAAGAAAAAACAAGGACTTACATTCTTTCATCATGTTTTTCCCATTTTGTTCAGATCAAGCAACATTTTAATAGATGTCAATCATACAGACTGTGTTCAGATTAAGCAAAATCATAACAAAAGTGTTAGTGACACTGTTGGCCCAGAAATCCTGTGCACATGAAAAATGAAAAATTTTCTACTGTCCCAGGATTGTCAGCTTGAATTTGACAGCAAACCTTGTTTTAAAATAATGAAAAGTGTTCTGGCAAATTAAAATTCTGCACCCAATGTGCAATGTCTTCCTTTTGTCACCTGATGACCATATTGCAGGTGATGACTTGTCATTGCTAGAGATGCATTGAAGAAGGTGGCTGTGAAAGTTCATCAACCTTTTCAGGGGAAGGGGAGATTTTTCCCTTTTGATATCAAGAAAGCTGAATTTGGGCAGCCACCTCCAAAGATGTGACTCAGTCAGAAGGTACTGGGTAGCAGGGATCAACTGACCAAGAGGGAAGGAGATGTAGAGGAATATTGAAAAAAAGCAAAGCCAGTGTCAGGAGCTGCAGAGGCAGGGAAGTGAATGTGGGTTTATATTGTGGCAGATGGGGACAGAATATGAGACAGGAGCCTGAGAAAAAAGAAAGGAAGCTAGGGAATTAACCTGCTTTTTCATCATCTATTGCTACATCTGATAACAGACCAGTTAACATGCTGGAAAACAGTCTCGGTGTGACTCATGAGCACAACTGTTGGTAGACATCTGCTCTACAAACACATTGAGTGGCATGTCCCTTGATCACTTTTGCTGTTGTGTAGCCTTGATTCACTTCCCCAGTGGCTGGTTTTAGCCAACAGTCCATCCACTCACTGCACAGTTCTGCAAACAGAATGGCTGGTAAGTGACCAGTGAGGCAACCTTGGAGAAAAGGCTTCACCTTTCTTGCTATGGCTGCCGTTCCGTGCATCATCTTTAAGTTCACTTATTTCTGTCTGTGTATCCACTAGAAAATTTTACTTGTAAGGAGTTACCAGCTACCTGGCCAAGTCATTACCATCAGACATCAGACTTCCTCACAGCCACCCAGTATGTTTCATTTTATTACATTTGGATAGTGAAAAATTGCTGTTTTCATGTTGTTTTTATGGTGGTGATGCTGAAGTTTTGAAACATGACCTTATAGTATAGTACAGCAACATTGCAATTAGAAAATATTTTCCTTAAAATATATTTAATGTGCTTGTTTTTCCCCCAAACAACTAGCAGTACTTAAATACATTAATTCAGATTTAAAGCAAGAAATATTGGGGTTCTAGAAAACATATTTCTAGCAACTTACTTTCACTGGCTGAATAGTCCTGTGGATCAAGTATCCCTGATTCCTGCAGCGATCTAATACAGGAGTCCACCAGCTCCAGACCAGTGGTGAGTTCATCTTCTATATCCTTCTGACCATCTGTAATGAAATTAACAACATAAAAACATAGAAGAAGGTCAAAAAGGTAAAGCCATATACAAGACAAAAGCTAATCAGTTATATGTGACTAAGCATTCACAGCTGATGAAGGAATGCAGGCCAGACACTCCCAGGACGCTGGCCATACTGAAAATTGTGCCATCCTTTGATAGTAGGGCCTTGGATTAATAAAAGCAAAATGAGAATATTTAGGTCCAGTAGAAAAAAAAGCCAGAGACACATTTAGCAATGCCTCTTCTCAAAACTCTACTTAGTTTCAGTGTACTTTTTGTCAATCCTAAAAACTTTTGCCAGATCCTGACACTTTTTAAGTACAGTTTTTACACACTAGCAATGAGAAAAAACACACAAAAACCCCAACAAAAACCTCCACATACATCAATGTGCTTTCCCCCTCCCTCTTCTTTAGGTAAAAATGATCTTTCTGGGAGAAAATGTAAGTAATACATATTTGTAGATAGGTACATTACCTTGTGTTTGCCAGTGAAACTGCTCTTCTGTTGAACTGGAAAGAGAAAGAAAAAAGTGATTATTTTTAATTAAATTGTTTTGTAGTGTGCCATGAATATACAGATATAAATCTATGCTGAAGGAACTGATTTAAGAGAAGAACACACTTAAGAATAAAAAATGTATTTAGAATACATAATTTTGTATATATTTTTAATTAATGACTTGTACAGCATGCACTCAGCTGGAGGGAAGCATCTTTATTTCTATATCAAGTAATTTGAATCATGCATATAGAAATTGGCCTCTTGATTTTGATATACAAACCACACTATTTCAGAAAAACATTAGCATTCTTCAGCTTTTTGGATTCTTCCATTTGTCTGATTCTCCGTGTTTATCAAGAAAATTATAAACTGCTTTCTCAAGTGAATAGTTACATGTGATTTCTGAAAGAAATTATGAGTATGATTCCTGGTTCTGCTGATCATTATGTGCATTTTTATATTATTCAAATGTGCAGCCAAGTTAATTCAATTGGCCTATACAGGAGAGTAAATTTAGATGTGTTTGTGCTTCTATGTACAAGCACTTAAGCAACAGAAGGTCTTAATTTTAAAATAATGAGCATGCACACCAGAGGATGGGTTAGGTAGGTTGGTTTTTTTTTTTCCAATAAAATGAAAGATACATTCAAATGAATGATAAAATAAATTGTATATTCAATTAAGCAATGACTACACTTTCCTCCAAGGCATGTTCTGTTTATGCCTCAATATAGGTCTTTCTCATATGACAAGAATACAAAAAGGATTGAAGTTACTCAGTACTACCCATTCGTTTGATAACAGTGAACTGATTATTACACCCATGACTGAAAGATTTTTCTGTACATTTTTGTAAGATACTTATTAGGGAGAACAACAACATCTGTTGCATCCATAAGTTAAAAAAGAAACCAAAACAACAAAGACTGAAAATATTTTAACTTTTCCAACAATTATATTTATTTTTTCATTTGTTTTCTCATTTTGAGACTAAATGCTCTTTTGAATGAATAAAAGGATTTAAATCTCTAACTGTTTTCCCTTTTCCCAGCAGATGCTGGATCATTTATTAATATGTCAGTATATCTCCTACTATCTATGCTCTGAACAATAGTAATGTACATTAAATTAAATGCTTCCTTGTGGAGGTCTATTTTTACAGTAAAGAAATTATGTAAATTATTTACCAGATTTGATAGTGTTAAAAAAAATATTGTCTAATTTACATAAAAATAGTTCTAAAGGACTTTTAATTTCTACCTGGCATCATAAATGTTAACATGGCAAGTTCAAATCTATACATCATCATAAATTTCCTAATATCTACGGTCTGTGGTTTATATTGACTCACAGTAGTGAGATGTTATAGATTAAGAAGCCAGGCCTTTGATGAGATAGTGAACTAAAATTCTTGCATTCAAGTCCACTGAAATTAACAATATTGAAGATAAGTGTTGCCAGAGTCCTCAGACAAACAATAATAACTGCAAAGTGCTGAACTGTACAAAATTACTTTAAATTACCTTTGAAATGAAGTCCTAGTGGTGACTAGAGACAGTGACTCTTTTTGAAATAACACTTTTTCCAATTTTACATTCCTTTTGTCTGATTTTCAGATGTACTAAATAACTGCAGCTTCATTTGACACACTGGGACTTGAGAGCAATCTTCCTTTCTGTAATTAGCACAATCCATAATAAGTAATGTACTACTTTCCACTCCAGAGTCCCTCTTCCAGTATCCAGATTTCTTTGTGATAGATATCACCTCACCAGCCAGAAAAAAAAAGGTAATATCTCAGGGGGCATTCTTGCTGGCAGAATGAATTACTAGATGTTGCTGGCAAGAACACAATGATGTAAAAGCCTATGCCATCTCATCCAAATAAATTAGAAAAGAAAATCAGGTCGTGCATAAAGAGTGAATTACCACTTCCAGGAATTCCAGCTTAGTCCTTTTTAAGTAGCAAACTTGTACAAAATGTAACAAAGGTCATTATGTTAAATTAATCTCTTGTGGTTGATTCATAGTAATCCCCAATATAATTTGTCTGACTTCCACAGAGACACTGTACAGTATCCATATTAATCTCAGGATCACAATGAATTTTCGCTACATTTTGTCTTTTCCAATTTTAGTCACGCTTCTCCTCACCAGTACTGTAATGGTCTTTCAATAAATAATGTAGCTTTTAGAGTAATGATTCCAGATCCACCATCAGAATTTTTATCCTAATGCTACCTTCTTATTCAACATGTGGAAAATGAACCAGGCTGAGCAGGTCAGTGGTGAGTCCCCATCCCTGGAGGTATTTTAAAACATGTGCAGATGTGACACCTGGGGACATGGTTTAGCGGTGGACTTGGCAGTGCTGGGTCAATGCTTGGACTCGATGGTCACAGAGGTCTTTTCCAATATAAAAGATTCTATGATTCTCTATTAAAGTTGTATTTGTTCCTACAAAGATATCATTATATTCTGGTATAGAAAGAGTGCTGTTTTCCTTAGTTAAATTCATGTTCTTTAGCTTTTTAACAATCCAGTATAGTTGGATATTGAAGCTGCTATTTCTTGGTTGCAATCCAATGCCAGTTTGTTGCAAACAAACATTTAAAGGGTTTCACTCAAAAACTTTATTAGAATTTGCCATAGTTTTAATCTAAATACTGTTTATTTTTCCTTTTTCCTTTTTTTTTTAACAGAACTTCCCCTGCTTTTGGCCTGAAAAAGGTTCCTGACTGAAGCAACCTGACTTGTTTGTGCAGGAAGCCTTTAGGCTGTCACATGACTCTGCCAAATCTGCTTGAGTGTATAAAAGGGCACCCTTTTCTAGCCTTTCCTTTCAGGTGTTTCCCAGCTGCACAAGAGATCGGTACAATTGTCTGCACAGTTACATCAAATACATGAAAAGACAAAAAACCAATAATTAACAGAAGTATTGTCCTAATAATTTTTTTCAGCATGTTCAGCAAAACGTATTTTTGCTTCATATTTTTTATGAAGAAAAAAATGCATTAGCAACCACTTTTCTGGATGTTCCTTTGCCTTATTATGTAAGTTTGCAAACGTTAGTAACTTTGACTGAGGAAGATGAGCAATAAAATTCTTTATCAAGCTGTTCTGAGCTATGGTACCCTGAGCCCACCTTAAGAGTTTGAGGAAGGGATTTTAACCAGAACTACATTAGTATAGCCTTAGAAAATTCTAGCATAAAAAATGACTGACCTGAGAACTCAAGCAGTTAGAATTACAAAGTCCCTTAACCCAAACTCAGAAGAATAATTGTAATTTATTTATTCTTCTTTTATTTTTGGTAGTCATTGCATCCTGTTTATACTTCAAATGTTCTAGGTACAAATAAGACTACTGTTCTACTTAATTCTACCTGACTTATTGAAAGAATTCTCCATCACTATTCAACTATGCAAAACTTGATTCTTCTATGCTTATATTGCCTTTGGAAAACTCCATGTATTGAAGGAAAATCGCAAGGAAGCTGAATAACTTAAGAATGAGAAGATAATGCTAAAACCCAAAAAATTGAGCATAACACTTGACTAAACAAAAGAAGAATATTGTTATATGTTTAGTTCTTGATGTTAATGTTTAAGTTAATGAACCTATCTTCTGTAAGGATGCACTATATTGTGCTTAAAACTTTAGCTTTAATAACTACCTAGGAAAGGAGGTACTCCAGTAAAAAATGGTTTACTTCCCTAGGCAAGAATGAGGGAAGGAAATATCCACAGAACAGTCATCTTGATTCCAGCTGAACTCCAACATTCCCATTTCTGCATGAACGTCATAAAAGCACAAAAGCAGTGAGAACCCTCTGTGTGTGCCCTTGCATATGGGGAGGGTGAAAGGCAAATGAGCACAGCATGCTGCAGGGAGCTCGTTTTGGGGAGCATCACCTGGGGAGCTCTACTGCCTCTGCACAGCGAGGGAACAGCAGCAGCATGGAGCACTGCAAAAACGCAGATTTTCTACAGCCAGCTGAGGATGTCTGACTATTACCAGCAGTTCTGTACATCAAGTTTATCCCTTTTCAGACACAAATAGAAAAATCCCAGACTGACCTACAGTTTGTCCATAAACAAGCAACAAACCAGGCCTCAGGGAGTCTTAATTTTTTCCTATGCCTCAAATCAAGTTAAACAAGAAGTGGGTGCCCCTTCATGATGGACTTGATAGAAATCCACCATGATTAGATCAGCCAGCACCTGCGTAGCAAGGTGAGTTACAGAAGACCATCAAATGCCTCTCTCAGCACTTTACAGGAGTCAAAAGGCGTTTTGGTGGTGTAGCAGTGAATGCTCCATATGACACCAAAATAATGCTTTCCTGGACAACATTCACCAGCCATATTTCTATAAAAGCAACCAAACTCCTCAAGGGAGGTAACCTAGAGGTGGGGAATGCTATTGAGTATTTTGACAGAAGGAAAGCTACCTGATACATCTTCAGACTATTGTTGCTATTAGGGCCTGTACAAACACCCAAAGATTCATTTCCAAAGAAAGTGCCGGGAAGCAGCAAGGGCACCTTGGACTCAGCTGAACTCCTGGAAGGTGGATGTCTGCCTGTGGCACTGGCAGCAGGGACAATGGCAGGCAAAGGTAAGTGACACCAAACCCCAGGCCAAGACATGTTTTGCACACTACATGGCCACAGCAGTACTTGCAGCATCACTTGGGTTTAGTTTTAGACATTACATGGCCTGATGTGAGACCAGGCCCACTTCAGAGGAATGCCTCGAGAGGTTCAGAACCATTCAGTGCAAGAAGGAGCTCCACTGCCCTGCACACACTTCCCCATCAATAGTATTTACTATTGCCTGCAGAAATTCATTGTTCCTATCACATGCACCAAAATACATCAGTGCACATGCACAGCAGGCCAAAGCAGTTATGGTTATTCATTGCCTTGCTGCTCCCCAGAAGAGCACCACAGCAAAGAAACTCACTTCTTGTTGGGAAGGGAGGTAGGTTTTCTTTCATTCACTGTT